ATATATATATATATATATATATTTATTGTGTTTGGTAAAGTAATAAGGAACTCGTGAGCTTCTTTGATCAATTTATAAATAAATTTGACTAAAATAAACTTGTTTAATAAGAAAACTTATTTTATAATATTATAATTTATTTCTATAAACTAATTAAAGTGACTTATATTTTAAAAGCTTTTAGTGTTTTAATTCTCATTTTTTTATTTTTATTAATTTAATTCAAGTCTTGTTTACTCTTTTCAACTTAAAAACTATTTTGCATATATTTTATCCTCTTATTTTTGTTATCAAATAAATAAATATGTATTTTATATTATTCAATCAGCTCATCAACTAATATTATCACATATTTTCAATTTAATTAGTTAATTTATAAATTTTTAACTCTAACTTTTAACTTATAGCTTATAAACCGGTTTCAAAAATACACGATATAATTTCTCTAAAAAAATAATAACATCAAGACAATACTGTAATTGTGTATTTACTTGCAACCATTCCCCGAGTGATGTCATCAACCAAACTGACAATTGTTAACTGGATGCACATTTGGAACTGGTAATTAAATTGTGCAGTGGATACTTCATGATTGGAGTGATGAACATTGTTTGAAGTTGTTGAAGAACTGCTATAATGCAATTCCCGACGATGGAAAGGTGATTATTGTGGAGGCAGTTCTTCCAATCATACCAGAGACTAATGCTGCTTGGAAGGCTATTTCCCAGGTGGATGTTCTGATGATGACTCAAAACCCGGGTGGGAAAGAGCGAACAGAACAAGAATTCATGGAATTGGCAACTGCTGCCGGATTCAGTGGCATCAGGTATGAATGCTATGTTCGTACCTTCTGGGTCATGGAGTTCTTCAAGTAGACCCATAGCCTCTGTAATTCTAATATTTATTATTGTGTGTGTTTCTCATTTTAGATTAACAAAACATTTTCAAGTTAGTATTATATTCTATGTATTGGTTTGTAGAATCTATGATATATTATATGATGATTAAGTTGTGTTTTATATTATATGTTGATACATGATATTGAATTCTTTATATATTTTGGTGTAGTACAATGTATAAATTGATAAAATGGTTGAAAGTCATGTTGAGTTGTATGTGGTTTAGTTGAGTAGATGTATTGAAAAATACTTTGACAATAAAAATATATTGTGTTGATTGATTTAGAATTAGAGAAAAAGTTTTTTTTTAAGTTATATATTTCATTGTGAGGAAGTTATACGTTGTGATATTCTAAGAGCTCTAGGCATACTAATTTCTAGTAACCACTATTGATCTGGTAAGATTGAGACATACATGTATAAAATGACCAAATTAAAGTAAGGTACAAGGTTAAGACCAAAATCTCTAATTAAATACTAAAGTAGATTAATTTCATAGATAACTTAGTTATGCTAACTAATGTCATGATTGTTGAAATTCTGTGACAAACGCACTAAATTTGCTATAGAATAAATGAAAGTACAAATTGTTGATCTAAAGGACTTTAAAAATATTTGTAACTTCATAATATTTGTAACTTCTAATTTACCATAATATCTTTAGTCGACTTTGATATAATGATAAAGATACCATCCTTCGTGATTCGTGCGATGGAGTAAGGTTGAGGTTGCTTTGCATTGAAATGGAGTTTTCTTCAAAAGAAAAATAACCACTTATCATGTTTTGGAAAGTCAAATTTGTATTGGACGTAGTGATAAAATGGTTGAAAGTCATGTTGAGCTGTATGTGGTTTAGTTGAGTAGATGTATTGAGAATACTTTGACAATAAAATTGTATGTGAATGTGATCACAAACACGTAAGATACGTAAAATAAAACGCAACCAGTCAAGCAAAGCTAGCTAACGTTTTTGTTTTTTCTTTTCAATTTTCAAGGAAAGAAGCCACTGAAAGGAACATTCAAGAAATTAACATGTTATAGCGCTATATGTTAAGACATTTTACACTCCTTACTTTGAATTCTCTCAAAGTACAATGTGGAGAACTAAGTTATGATCTCTTAAACGTTATATTATATTTTTATAATCATGTCTAAATAAGGAGAACTAAGTTTTATCTCTTAATAGCAAGGAGTCTATTTCGAAACTTTCTAGATAAAAAAAAATGTGATTAGAAAGAAAAAATTCAATTAAAAATGATTAGTGATAGATATTTTGAAGTAATAATATAATGATTTTTTTTTTATCAATGATGTATAGTAGAGAATCGGGTAGAGAAAAAATTAAAGGAAGAAATAAAAGATATGAAGAAGGAAAGAAAGAAAATATGATTTTATTCAAAAAAATATATATATATTAAGGAGATAAAAGGGGACCAAAAAAAATAAAATTAAAAAATTCAGGTGTTCGTAATTATGATGTTATGTACTTAGCTCGTTCCAGTGTAGTTGGAATTGGGTCTAGCCACGTAGGAATTCTTTCAGCTGGATGAGTGCTTGGTCTTATTCCAATTAATTGTCTAGACAGGAGAAAACCTAATTGGATTAGCAGCATTTAGCGCGTGTTAGGTCCACTGTCCCAACAGTGAGAGTGAGACAAAAGTCAGAAAATGTTGTTATTTTATTTTCATTTTAACATTACCGTCATCCAAAATCTGTCTTTAGTGGCCGCCTATGCATCTTCCTTGCACTTAACTTTGAAACCAAACATTCAAACAACAAGCTATTTTTCTGCTGCTCTTATTGTGCAACACTTTTTACATCTTCTATATATATACACGCTTGATTACCGAGTCAAGTAGACAACAATAACATCTTTTGAAGATATAATGGGTTTCCATGTTGAGGCACAGGCGAGGATGCACCAACCTTGCGCAGCTTGCAGGATGTTACGCCGTAGATGTGACAATAACTGCCTACTTGCTCCATATTTCCCGACTCAGGAGCTTCACAAATTTGTTGGGGTGCATAAAGTGTTCGGTGCTAGCAACGTTATCAAAATGATTCAGGTGGGATAGACCTAAATATTAAATATAGTTGAGTATACTATATATATCAAATTATATACCCTATGCACCCATGCATTTGGTAGTAACCAAAGATTTGTCAAATTACAAAGATATTTTAATTAAAATCTTCCATACTGTCCTACAAGACGGCTTGCTTTTGTCCATTTTTTTTTGTTATATTAAGGAAATAAAAGAAAAACAAACAACGAAACTCGCACAGAATCAATATGTTTACTGTTTCCCTGATTATATTGTGATTAAGTAATTGTAACGTTCAAGTTAATTTCTAATAACACGTACGTTGTTGTTGTTGTAGATGGTTGAGGAAAGAAAGAGAGAGGACGCTGTGAAAGCCATGGTTTACGAGGCGACAGCAAGGCTTAGAGACCCAGTTTATGGCAGTGCTGGGTCTATTTACCAGTTGCAAAAGATGATTCAGGAACTGAAAGCACAACTAGAGTCGATGAAAACTCAGGTATCAGAGCTGCGACAACAAAAAGAACTGTTGTTAAGTATTCATAACAACAATGTTCATAGCCACAATGATCCTTTATTCACCGACAATGACCCAATCTTTGATGGTTACTTTGATCAACTCATGGACTCAGATCCATTTGATTTTCCTGTACAAGTTGGCTGGGGATGTAGCAATACAAATAATATGTCAATGCCTTCCTGCTAGAACACTAGCTGATGTACACGTGCGTCCCTGTGTGTAATTTTTTTTTAACAAAATTACTTTGTTAACTATGAATTTTAATTCGGTGCGTATGTTAATTGAATACTACTCCAATTCTTCAATTATAAATATTAAATAAATAAACCTTATCATTTTTAACCCTATTTATGAAAATAGTAAACCATACAAATATTTAATATAAGATTATTTTCCTGTATTATATTATTTATTATTTTGACTAACTTGAGTTCATATTGTGGTGAGAGACTGATCATATATCAACTAAGTATTTAGGAATGAAATCTTAAGTCTTACAAATACAAAAAATTTAAACTGAAAAAATTTAAACTGAAAAATGATACTCATTTATTTGATATTTGTCAAACTTTAATGAAAAATTAATCTCTATATTCAATAGAAAAAAACTGTTTGTTAATAAAAGAAAAATAATAAATAAAAAATAAGGATACTTATACATCTTTGAGCCTAAATATTACCAACGTTATATTAAACGAACAATGACAGTAAAGAAAAGTATAAAAGGCATTCTGTAAAAAAAAAATTTATAAAAAGCATCATTCCATTCTTTGTAAACAGGACAAAATAATAATAGCTTATTACAAAGTGACCTTAATTTATTTGTTTAAAATTATAACATTAAGAAAGGAAAATATTTTTTTTTATACAATATACCTTTCTAACTCTCTCGTTCTACTTTAAAAAAAAAAAAAAAACGATTTCTCACACGGCCATGTTATCATATATGATTGAATAAAAAAATTATTCCCCTTATTAGTTATTAGTATTACGTTAAAACATTAATGATAACTCAATTACTATATTTTTAATTAAGTCTTAATTTTTAAAATACAATAAAAAAATAATTTTCTCATGGCTTATAATTTCACTATTTTTTATGGTACAAATTATCAATCATTTTTATTTTTATGCTATATTTTATATTAAAATTTTCTTTTACAATCTGATTTATATAGTTAAAATATATCTCAAATTTTAGCTACATTCGAACCCTAGATGCAACTTGGTGGCCAAGGATGGAATCTTTGGGTTTAGATTGGCTATATCTAGGTGCATGATAAGACCATGCAACCTTTGCCCTCCACTTGGGCCTAAGCCTTTCTAACACCAAAAATAGACCCAAAAACACCAAAAAATGCGTCACCCTTCTAGTTAACACCCTAGCCCAAAATTAAAACCCTAATCATCTAAAGCACCCCATAATACAAGGGTAAAATGGGAAATACAAGAGAAAATAAATTCTAAGTCCTAAACACCCCAAAATACAAGGGTAAAATTGGTAAATAAAATAAAAATAAATGCTATAAAAAAAAACTTAGGAGCTAAGGCCCAAAAGTAGGCTTACTCCTCCTATGATTTTTCAACACTAACCCATTCCTCTTGCCTCCTTCAATATATCACCTCTTGGACTTCTCGGTCTTAGTGTTATTCCATCATAACTTTTTATGGTTTAGGTAGCATGTGTGTGACACCTTTTACCCCACATACATAATACACAATAAATATAAAGTACATTCCTGAGTAAATAAAACTTTCTTAATCAAAATAAGGTTCCAAAACACATAGATAGAGAGTTCACATTCATATTTCGCAAATCGTAGTCCAATGCGGAAATGATGACAAAATAAAACATTAATCTTTTCAAAACACAATAACAGTAATGAAACTCCAATTCTAATCCTAACTAAGCCCTGATGTCACATGTCTTATCAGAGCACACCCGACAATGAGACTTAAACCTCATCAGCAATATCCTCATGTTGATGATCATCTACAACACAATAAAAAACACATAGAGCAAAAGGGGAGTGAGAAACATCTCACTCTGGTTCAGATGTAGAAATAAATGTTAGGTAACACAAACATAATCATAACAAATACCACACAAGTTACACATAACCAAGCATAACTCTCAAGTTATAGATACATTATAATACATATACATTCACTCATCATGCAATAATGTCATGGACTCGACTCATAAATAATTATAAATAAAAGTACTTCAACGGAAATCTCAACAGTTGATTGATTTAAAACTAGAGAAAAAGTTTTTTTTTAAGTTATATATTATATTGTGAGAATATTGTGCTGTGATACTTTAAGAGCTTAATTTTGTTATAAAAATTTCTTGGAAAGTTAGTCTTAGAAGTGGATAATTGAGTCTTCTCTAGGCCTTAATTGACGTAGTATGTAGGTAAGGTCTAGGCATATCAATTACTAGTAACTACTATTGATTTGTATGTGATAAGGTTAAAATATACATGTATAAAATGACCCAGTTAAAATAAGGTACAAGGTCAAGGCTAAAATTTCTAACTAAGTACTAAAGCAGA